CTCCGATGAGCGATCAGAGGCGGAAGAAATCGAAGATTCAGAGTCGCTGCGACCACCTCGCTGGCGGATGGGCAGGTTTGTCGTCTCGCTTCGTACAAATACTTGCCTTGCTAAGTAACAAAGCAGCGGCCCCGCGGAGAAGGCAGAGGGGACAAAGGGTACTGCCCATATTTCCCCGTTGCATAAAGTCGCCAAGGCAAACTCTGCCAGAGCCTTACCTCAAGCGCTTCACGCCAACGACGCGAAATTATCCTCCTCATCGACCACGCCCTCTGTCTCCACTGCCGCTCCACAGGCTAGTGGCTCCCCGTGGTCCACAGACGATGTTTCCGACGGGCAAGAGCATGACATCGTCAATCACCACACTGAGGGCGAGAACAATCCCAAGGATGTCTCCACGGACGATAGTGCAGTCTCCTTGGGGATTCTGGTGGATGGGGTAGAATCTGGTTCGACAGCGGATGGTGCCAGCCCTCAGGTGCCTGTCACTCCAACTGAAGTGGTTTCAGACACCCTGGATGGAGATTCGGAGGGCGGTTCGATAGGCGAGGAAGAGTCTGAAGATGTCTTAGAGCCGCAGTCGTTGCTCCCGCCGCGCTCGCGCATGGGCAGGTTTGTCGTCTCTTGCGATGCACAAAGTATGCCTTGCTAAGTATCAAACAGGGCCCGTATGGACCGGTCGCAGCCTCAGTCTGGCGAAGATGGGAACGTGGCCGCCGCTAATACACCGCCTTTGACCGGAAGCGCGAAGGTAAACTCTACCACCGCCCCGCCTCAAGTACCTACAGCCGGCAACGCCAAAATGTCCACCTCCACTGCTGTCACTAGTGGCTCCTCGTCGTCCGTTGGCCATATCTCCAATGGCGAAGAAGCGAACGCCGCCGCTGATTGTAGCATTGGAGGAGATGCAGAGCCCCACGGCAGTCCGATGGCAAAGGGTGCAGAGGCTTCAGGCGAGCTGGGCGATGGAGTCGAGGATCGATCCCAAGTGGAAGGCACGAGCCTCCGGTCTACGACTCCTGTTGAAGTTCTGTCGGAGGCCTATGATAGAGGAACGAATGGCGGCTCGGCAGAGGAGAGTGCTGCCAGTGAAGCTCCTGCCAGCGCGCCTGCACATCGTTCAGAGGTGGCAGAAAATCGCTCACTCGCTGCTATGACTCCGGCTGAAACCGCCTTGGAGGCTCTCGATGATGTCGTGTCCCATGTTCCGCTTACACCCTCTTCCGCCCCGTCTGTGGGAGAGGAGAACGGTAGTTCTACGGCGCCCAACGCTAATGTCCAGGTGCGTTAGTCCCCCATAGTTGAGCGACCGAACATCCCTCATGTGGGAGTGTAATAGAAGATTGACGAGCCAACTTATCTCCAGGCGCCAATGGAGGCCAAGGATGCTCTCGAGAGCGTGAGCGAACGTCAAGGTTCTGCGAGTACAATGTAAGCTCCCTCCAATGCTGTTGTATATCCGATGCGATAGGGTCACTAGGTCGTCCAAGGCCAAGCCTGAGGATCGTAAAGAACTCAGTCAGGCTTCCGCTACCCCACCGAATAATAATAAGCGAAAGTGTCTTGGGGAAGACGAAGAGATTTCTTCAAGCACGGTGAAGAAGAACTCCAAGACCGTAGATGAATCTCCCTCGACCGCCCACCAGAGTAACGGAGAAGCAGGGCCGCCTGTCAAGGCGAAGAGGATGAAGACCGAGAAGTTCTAGCATCTTTCTTGTGCATGCGCTGAGCTCGTGGTTGTATATCATTATGAACTACTATGTATTCGGTTGTGTGTGATATCTCGTGTTGTATAGTGACCGTGTTTGCTTTATCTTTCCGATGTCTCGCTATCTCTGTACCGTTATAACCGCAATACATATTGGAATGTAAAAACATTCATAGAGTAGGGAAATGTCCCCTGGAACATACTTCGACTCCCGGCAAGCAGAGTACGAAGACTCCGTATTGCATTACCGACGATTGTTGACCACTTGTTGTCGATATCGATGGAGAGCACATCCCCTACCGCTAGGTGTAATGTGCCAAAATCTGGCCAGTAATTACAAGGAAAATCTACTGGCTAGGTTCTCTTCGATACCACTGCCGTCCTTCAGAAAATTCCTCACCTGAAGTGCGACCCGCGTCGGAACAAACAGGGGAGAGATCGAACGACCTGACTATTTTGTAGAAGTGCGACTCGCCACCTATTACCTTGACATGGACAAGTGTAACTATATATGTCGCTTGACATGCTGTATTCTGCGAATACAACTTTTCGACCGACTATCGCAAGGAGACTGCAGTAATATAAGAGACGGTACTCTCGCTCCTTGTGGGTCTCGCTCTGTTATCGCGCTTACATTCAAGAATCAGCAAATTTGAGCGCAAGAAGGCCCTGACGGCGTCTGACGAGCTGACGGCACAGACATCAGACGTCGTTTGACCAACATGGAGCATGCAATCGCAAATCAAGGTCATCGGTCGTACTCGGACTCCTCTCACTCGAATGGAAGATTCCTCGCATCATTCGAACTACACTCTGGACCTACTCCTCGCGGAAGAAAACCCCCGTTCAGGTTCATCCAGGTCAGTCTCAAGAAGAAAAATCAAGCCTCGCCAGCGTCCCAAGCACAATGAGATGTACGTTTGCCCGTCCGCGACAAGGGCTACTCGACGTCCAGACCCAATTCGGTGTCACTCGCCTGGAATATAGGAAGAAGGGTGTACTGTCTCCAGCGACAGGCAAGACTCCACGATGGAGTCTGTCGTATGCCCCTATCGGTGTCCATACGACGTGAAGCCCGTATTGGCAGCAGCTGAAAAGTACGACTGGCGGGAGCTTATCCCTGAGTGATCAGATTCATTGCATAAGCTCGATCGCTCCGGGTGGTTTGAGCCTTGCAGAACAGCAGTTAAAACTCGACAAGGCGCAAACGTGGTAGCACCGGGTATGAGTGCCCTTCCACAGCCATGGAGATGCTCGGGTGCTCGGGTGCTCCGATCATCCCAGCGAGGAAATCGCGTGTGCCACGATGGCACAACTGCTCTGGCTGCCTCCATGCTCAGCCGGGAGGTTGCTCATCTGTTCGGTACCCGCATCTAGGTTTAGGAGGCATTCGACTGCATGATGGACGTCCTAGCGAGCCAGTCGAGAAACGACGGGAGCGATGATACGACTGTAATGCGCAGAGCAGGACGGCAGGCGCCGAACGGACACGATCGGGATCCGAGGGAAGACATGGGGTGTCACACCTTGAAATATTCTCCTCGTCCTAGAGGCTGGCTTTTTGGATGGGAACAACCGGAATTGGAAGCAGCGAAGGCATGAGGCGAAGGATCTCCCACGCTTCGCCTGCATAACCTATGCAGCATATATCGAGCTCGGGGCAACCGAGCGGACACGATCGTCTTTCATATCCGCTTTATCCGCTTGAGCCTCCAGATATTGGAAAGACGACGAATCCTTCCCGAAAACAGACGCGAGGCGTACGGAAATGTGTAGAGGGAGCGTACATGTCGGAGCCGTACGCATGTGGAAATATAGTGATACCGATGCTCTACGATCCAGCCCACACGCGACGGTGACGCTGCGACTGCAGCCCTCACTGGCGGCGGGGAAAGCGGAACGGGAAGCACGAACGAGGGACGAGAGGGCTCACGTGCAACGCCCGACGTAGTGTTCAGGCAGCAAAAAGAGTCAAGCGAGCTCTTAAGGAGTGATAGCGCATATGAGATCCAAGGGTAACTGACCGTGCAACGACTTCCCTGAGTACAACCGCCTCCGAAATCCCTCGCACGGGGCTCACACAGCGGCCAGAATCTGCCTCTGATAACCCTGCCACCAGTATCGACGCAAGTGTCATAATCAAGGCGTCGACAATGGCGATGACATTGATGACTTGTGCTCATGATCATGGTGGCACAACAGCAAAGACTCGGAGTAAGCCGGAGCGGTGTCACAACTCTGTTCTCAACTTGAACTGCGGCGACCCCTGAATCGACTTGCTCTCGAAAGCTGGTACTCTTTTATCTGCGATTGTTGGCAAATCCATATACGCGAGGGATGAGGAACACTCCGATCTGAGATTGTCCTCTAGAGTTAGGGATCGCAAGCAAGGCATATTTGTCTTGTCCTGATCGCATCAGATTGGTGCCAATGCCAAACTCATGAGGGTGGATGAGAGACTGTAGTATTTTCAAGGACATGATCAACTGCGGAAGATTGGCAAGGATAGAGAATATTTAGAAATGACCATCGGAGTCGAATCCTGTTCTACTGACAAAGATGTAAGCGAATGGATTCTTCGTCTAGTTTCCCCCGTTGTGGGCGACGTAACATCAAACCGCTCGAGAAAAATCATTCGTACTCCGTACCCAACCCAGTACCAGTGCGTCTCCGCATCCACCCCTCGTGCGTAAGTCATTTCTCTCTCTCGTCGATTTAACAAAGCTTCTTATTCTCTAGGTCTCCTCATGAGTGTAGGCAGCCCTAGTCACAGTAGTAGTGGCCGCTGTATGCGTGAAACATGGTGCATCATGGCCAAATACAAGCCTGGGCTTCCTGAAGTGAACGATCGTCTCGATCTCTGTCTATTTGCGCCCATACCCTCACGCCGCCTCACACAGCCTATACGTTGTAATTGTACATCAGTTCTCGTACCTTTCCCTGTCGTGAGTGGGTGATACGGAGCACTACCAGTTGACCGCTCAAGATATTAATAATCTAAGATAACGCAAAGAACCGGCTGTACACGTGATGGAACCGTACCACATTGCACAGCGTGCAAACCACGAGGCAGAGTTTTACCAGCACTACTCCTTCACCCCTCCTTGAAGATAGAACGAAATTTGCTATGAAGTTGTTTGAATATGAGCGGCGGTACGTACCGTTCAATTCTCCTTCCTGTTAAGATTGTTCAAGGGCATCTGTGGGCGTAGTTTAGATAGAATCTTCCGACGTATTCGACTCGACTCCGTCACGGCCAGGAATCTAAACGATATCGATGAGCGGATTGCTCAGGTCGAACAGGACCTTCTCATCCTCAAACGCGAGCGTAACAAGCTTCTCCCCGTCGCACGACTCCCCGATGAACTGGCGCTTAGAATCATTAACCAGGCTTGGGCGGATGCGGCGCACTCGCAGCCGACATTTCTTGTGCAGATTACGCACGTGTGCAACCACTGGCGTGAGCTCGCGCTTCGCTCGCCTTTACTCTGGGCTCGTGTCCCGTTGTACAACAAGCGCTATGTTAGCATGGCGATGGAGAGGAGCTCTGGTATGCCGCTCGCCGTGACTGGCATACTCGATAACTACTTTCCACGATCCATCGATGCCTGTAGGATGGCGCTGGCGCATCTCGATTCCATCCGTTCTCTTCATTTGCACACAGAATGTCAGCATCCCACATCAAATCCGCTGTTCATGAAGCTTAAAGGCAAAAAAGCTCCTCAGCTCGAGTCTTTGACTCTGTCGGCTCCGATTTCTTTCTATGACATGCCTCTACCTGTATTTTCAAAACTTGAATACCCCCGACTTCGAGAGGTGGATGCGTGCAATTTCAACACGAAGAGCTCATCGAGATACTTTGTGCCTTCGCTGACAAGCTTATCGATATCGGAGAGTTTTCTGAACCCATCAGACTTACTCTCTATTCTTCATAGTCTGCCCCAGCTGGAGGACTTGAGGTTGGACCTCCTTGTCCCTGCGAGACCCCAGCGTGATCACGACCTGCTAGCCCAGGCACAGCTCCCCCCGATGGAGATGCCAAACCTGCGACATCTCTTCGTAAAGGCTGAACTCACCCCATGCTCTATAATCTTGGTCAATCTTGCTTCCCTTCCGGTTGTGACCGAGGTTGAAGTTGTCGTGCTAGACGGTGATCCCCTTAGGTACGCACTTCTAAAACATAACACAGTTTTTCTTTTCTTCATATTCAACGGCGGAGGAAACAGCAGGATCTTCAGTCAACGATCGTCCTTTGACCCTGTCGCCTCCTTCATCCGCCGTACTTCTGCTGAAAGTTGCATGCGCAAGGCTGCTGTGACACAGTTGGCACAGGATCTTACAACAGCGCCGGGATGGACAGAAACCTATCACAATATCACAGCGTGGAGCAAAGAGAGTGCGTCGTCCTGCGGCGGGCGTCCATCAAAATTCTCAATATCTGTCTCGTGTCAGCGAGACGATCGCTCGGATGCGGATGGTGACTCAAAGGAAATGATGCAGACAGTGTCTGAGATTCTACTACCGCCTAGCTTGGAATATCTGCAGGTCAAGACCCCCCTGGCTTCAGCGGAGTGGAGACGACAGTTTGGTCATCTGGCCAACGTGACCAGGCTTTGCGTTTCAGGGGCGGACGATGGGTTCTTCCATGCTTTATCTGGCATTCACGATCTGGCAACAGGAATAGATGGTGAGAAGGAAAGGGAGGGCTTGGAAGGCTGGTCTTCCACTGAGCCTGACACCATGCGTTTGTTCCCTCGACTTCAACACCTTATGATCGAGGAAGATGACAATAGTCTGTACGATGACGTCTGGGTCAAGAAACTAGCCAAGATGCTTGGTTCGAGGAAAACTAACGGCTCCGAGGTGGAGCGGCTCGATATCCGAGGTCTCGAGGAGTGCTCGGGGCAGTATGAGGCACTGTTGAGGGACGCCTCACGGGAAGTCACTCTTCGTCCCCCGCTCGAAATCCATGTCCAGGAGGAGAGTGAACAGTGAACACCCACACCCCACCGACACTGGACTTTTCTGGTCAAATGACGAGACGAATGCTGTTGGTCTTGGGGATGCGTGGGCATACGAGGACTCAGACGACGGGGGTGACTAGGACTACGCGGAGCGACGTAGACAGGTCTTCGGGGCACATCTCCATCTCCGTTAGTCTCGTTCGGATATATGTGATCATTGTAAGATGGTAAAGCACACAATACATGTCATGGTGCGCTGATACAGGCCGCGCATACCTCCCTCCATGTGCTGCTGTCTCGCTTTGAACGCCGTATGCGTTTATCCGGGCCACCGGCTGAGACGGGAATGGACGGAGGGAGCGCTGTCTGGATCCGGCAACTGACGCGGGGAAGGGACGGGGGGAGGGATTGTGTCGCGGTTCGAGCGTGGCCAGAGGCGAGCGATGACGACAGGCACATGCGATGCAGGAAATGCGTGGATGACCGATGCCGATCCCCGACGACAGTGGATAAGGCGAAGTACACGAGTGTTCTGGGGCGTAAGTATGCACGCTCCACGAGGGGTCGGGGCGGAGGGCGCCAGGGACGGCGCTGTAGGAAAACGTCAGTACAGTATGTAGCTATCACACACCGGGGCTAAGTGAACCCTCGTCGTATTGCGAACAGATACACGAGTACAGGAGTATTCCTTAGAGTAGAAGGTAGTAGTTGTCTGCCAAGCTACGTATATCCAAACTTCCTTCTAAGTCGCGTCGCGACCAAACATACTCAAACACGCGCCACATGGGCGCTTCCCCTTACATCCTCCCCTCTTAGAGCGAGGGCACGGTAATCACTGGGGCCGAAGAGACAATCATATTCAACGAGTGTAGAGGTTGGGTATAATAGCACTAGGTGCTTGAATATTACA